CATCGCCAACCGAATCGAGCTTCTTGCTCTTCACCGCCCGACTGAGCACGGAGAGAATGGCCTTCTCCATCGGCGTGGCCGCCCTGACCACTGCAGCACACACGATCGCGCCACAAGAGAAGGCCGCAGACGAGTAGATGAGCCCATGATGACGGGCTAGAAGCCCAAGATAGCGAGTGGGTACCTTCACGGGGCACAGGGGCCGCTCGGTGCGTTCGAACGTGAGGATGAAGAACAGGAGCGACATCGGAATCAGCGCTACTTTCCTGATGGGTTTCCGCTCCTTGTAGAGGGTTAGATGAGGCCACCGTCTCGTTCGTCGTGGCCACTTCGCCCTCTTCCATGCGGTCCCCCTCGTCCTTTGTTGTTCGCCATCCCTCAGTGAGCGCGTTCAGCACCTCGTCCCGCTCGGCCACGTACGTGGATGTCCTGTTCGGGCCGACGAGAAGTAACTCGGTTGTCAGATGAGCAGCGGGCGCGCTGACGATTGAAGCAATACAGGGTGGGAGGAGTACAGCCGATTCGTCTCGACGCGGGCAACGAGCTCGGTGAGCTGCAGGATCATGGCGAAAGGGAACAGCGGTATCTCGTGAGTGGCGATCGACTTGAGATGCTCCTCCTCTTGTGTTTCGTTGTCCGTTGTGGGAGGAACGACGTAGGGGCGAGTCCAGCACACGGCACCCGACTGTCGGTGCACATAGCTGTCGAGACCCGACGGCTCGTGCTTGATCTTGTGCCACCCCTCCGGCAGGGGGTGGGCTTGCTCCTCGGCGTCGTAGGCGGCCTTGAGCCTCGCTTCCTCGTCGGCACATTCTGCCAGCCACGCCTTCTCGGCGGAAATCGATGCTGGATGCTTAAATCGTCGATCGTGCAATGGATCTACCTTGCTGTGACAAGCAAATCCGTACCAGCACATTGGCCTTCGGTCTTGCTGAGTCGTCTGCCCGTCAGCGTCGCTCTGCTCTTCCAATTTACGCTTCTTCCCCCCTCCTGCCTCCATCTTGTTCTTTCTGCACTTTCCTCCTCTTTTTTTTTTTTTTTGATAAACCCTTATGTTCGTCAAATCCCACAAAATTCCGGAAACCTCTTCAACCTTGTCTCTTGGGTAAAGAGGATAGGGAAACGAAACTCTCGATGATGTTGTTGTGCATGCACAAGTGAAGCAAGTGCGGCGACATGTCGACTTTAGCCTCGTTACAAAAGCCATCATTTGGACATACGGTTGGGGGGGGGCAAACGGGCAGTGCTACAGTACATAGTTGTGGTCTCTTGGGGGGGGGGGCTAGCTGTCCTCGGGGAAGGATGGAGGCTTGACGCCAGGAAATCCTCGAACAGTTCCATTTCGGCTGACCCCGTCAGCGAACTCAGTGTTGGCGGCGTCTGGTGCGTGTACGGCAGCACTTCCAGCAATCATCTGAGCTGCGGTGGTCCGCGGACCCCTCGACGGCTTGCGCTTTGGTTTTAGCACAGGCCTTGGGCCTACAGGCGGTTTGCTCTCCTCCGGCTCGCTCATCGTCGGGTCCTTCTTCTCGTCGAGTGGGACAAAGTACTTCAAGTGTTTGATTTGTTGTTTTTTCAAACCAGGGAGAGAAGACCGTAAAGAGGCACCAAGAGAGAAAAGGAAACAGGCCAAAAAACCACTGTGCCCATGACACTGGTCAGTCACCCAAGGAGACAAGAGTTCGGCTTGGTCACTCCACGGGACAGTACAGGTTCGCCAGTGTTGAACATCTCTATGGCACTTACGGTGTACAGACGAAGGAAGAGGTAAGGGGCGAAGGATTAAGGAGAACATGGTGCACGCGCGCGTGTATCGTCTTCTCTCCAGGGTACCCACACGGTGTGAAGGTATCTCCGGACCCTGTTCCGCTTGGTGGCCATACGCTGGATTGCGGTCGACATAATATAACAGCAAATTTCGGCCTTGCGGAGTGCTGATAATGTTGGCAGACCACGTGAGGCTGGCGAAGTCCGCGCCACTAACGGGAGACTGACAAGGTGGGTGAGTGACGCGCACACGCAGTCAGCGGGCACAGAGGGACAGACCCCTCTCCAACCATCACTCACCAAACGTGGGGCCTTCTGCACGCGAAATAATCACACCAGGTTTCGTTTTATATTCAATAATTGCGCCATCCACCAGCAACAAAGCGCAATTGACAGGAGCATTTCGCACCGATCAGCGCCTCAGGCGACGAAACGGAGCGCAACACCCGAAAAAATTGGCCAAACTGCCAATCTGTGTATCTAGGTCGTTTTCCTTCTTCCCGCCCTACCCACCTGGCGCCACCTCCCACTCCAGCCATTCCCCTGTGACGAGTCTCGGGGAGTGCACTAAAAGCGAAGGGGTGGAACCGGGGATGCGCTCCACCTAATTCTCCCCACCTCCAGGCCGGGTCGCCCCACCCCGCCAAACGCACATAGAAAAGGCGCCTCCCCGGCCAATTCATCACACAAGCCTTCGCGCCAACACAACAACACACACAACACGCCTCACGGCCTGCGAGAACACCACACCTTGTTCCCTGCCCCGACGCTTCTGAATACAAGTGTTAGCCTACGCACGTTTCACTTCGTTCTCCCAACCTCACCCCAGCACGCAGTTGAGTGCCCCGTACGTACAACCCTCACTCGCTCCACGAGTGAACAACTGCGAGGTGTTCGTAGCATTTGCGGTACTAATCTCTTTTTTCGATCTACCATTGTAGCCGATTTTGATTTGTTCGAATGTCCACGGCAAGCCCGGCATCGCAACTCACACAATGGCCACGGTCCCCAGCCGCGCCGCATGGGGCTTGCGATGACGACATCGACTACCTGAGCGAGGACGAGGGCATGGGAAGCCAGGGTGGCCCTTCAACGTCGGCGTACACATCATCGGAAGAGATCGGCAGCTCGAGCAAGCGGTATCAAGTACACAAGCACACCTCGAAGAACAGTTCCAACCAGTCGCGACACACCTACCTGCCTACGGTGCTTGGCTTCAGCGCTGACGACCTGGGCACTGAAGATTGGAAGGAAATGCGAGCCGGGATGAAAGCCAAGGAGCGTGCGATGCCGCCCAAGGCCTTCAACGAGGAGTACATCAAGCGGCGCAGCGTCCTTGTCGACTGGATGTCGCAGACCAGCGAGACCGTCCTGCGTTTGGTGCCCATCACCATCCACATCGCTGTGGCCTTCCTCGATGCCGCCGTCGCCAAGCTGGGCGACCAGTACATCAAGCCAACGCGCCTCCAGCTCATGGCTACCGCTTGCATCCTCACTGCCGGTACGTGCCCAAGCCCAAACCATCCGTCTTGCTCTTCTCTTTCGTGCGTTAATCGAATGTCTTCTTCTATGATCTTTGTGCACACCTGCAGCCAAGATGGAGGAAAACGATGGTCAGGTGCCCTCGGTGTACGAGCTCAATCGCTGCTGCCAGGACGGCTACTCTCCGCAGTTGATCGTGAAGATGGAGAGCCTTCTTCTCGATCTGCTGGACTGGAACCTCGTCGTCCTGACCCCGCGGCACTTCCTCGAGCTCTACGAGGGCGGCGGTGCCCTCGTCGTGCAGCCCTTTGAGGAGTTTGTCAACAACACCACCATCCCCCCTCTCAAAATGGCCTCGGTCCAGCGCTACCAGCGTGAGTACGCTGAATTCTTCGTCGACCTCTGCCTGCACGGTACGCCTGCTCCCTCGTCCACCCGTGCCGCTGCTCTTTGGCTCACTCCCCTCCGTGCAGACTTCAATTTTGTTCACTACCGCCCGTCGGTTGTGGCGGCGGCGGCTCTTGCCTCGGCCCGGCGCATGCTCAAGGTGACGCCCATCTGGCCTCACCGTTTGGCCAAGCTCACCCAATACGACTTCGAGCACTTTGCGCAATGTGCCGAACACATCTGGGGGTATGTGCTACTCTCGCAAACCAGTTCCTCAACGGTGATGGTTGACCCGGCTCTCGTTCACAGGGTGTACGAGAAGACTTTCGCGTCTCCTTGAGCGGTGGCCCACTGGGTCCACACTGCGCGGCGCTGCTCGGCGAAGAGCCACACGTGCCCGCTCTCCGTTGGATCGTTTAGATTCTATGCCTCTGTTATCTTTTTCTCCTCCCGGCGGACCCGACCCAGTGCGAGGCGGTTCGCGTTGTCATCCTTTAATTTATTACAATGTAGGGCTCGCGCCAGATGATGCCTTTCTTTATCTCGATCTGTCGAGTGCTTGGCTTTGATCTAATCTCGTGATGCCATCTAGATGGGCCATGCAACCAAGGGAATGCCGCAAGCCCACAGCCAAGTGGAACGCAGAAAAGACAACCCAAGTAAGTGGGCAACCAGTGTGCTAACAGGAGGCCGGAACGACCTTGGCGTTATTAGCACCACGCTCTACCAACTAAGCTAACCGGCCTTCAATAATATCATTGCCTAAAATGCAGGGAAAAATTCGAAAATGATGTGGTTTTGTGGTTTTATTTTTGATTTTAAAATCAAAATCACAAATAAAGCAAAGCTGATGAAGGAGCGAGGGCGAATGCTGAGGGGATTGTATAGGGGGCTCATGTACGCAGCCCGCCCACTCGACGCCCAACCGGCACTGCGTGCTCTTCTGGCTCGTCCCTGCGCCCACCCCCAGTGCCATCTTTCTCCCCACACCTCTTCAACCACTTCCTCCACCTCTGCCGCCACTGGTGACCAAGGCGATTGGGCAGCTGCTGCTGGCGATGCGCTGCAGGGCCTGTGGGACGAGGTGCTGGGCCGGTCGGGGGCCGTTTGTTACTCCCCGCCCCCACCCACCATGGCGTCACCTGCAGCACTGCCCCTCGCCGCGCTCGTGCGCCGTGAGTTCAGGTCGCGCCGGCCCGCCACCGACCAGGCACGTTACCCACCCCTTGCACCACTTTGGCACCTGCGGGCGATGTGTTGCCCTCCGAGTACGGCTATGCAACTGACACGCGCTCGAACTTGGTGGTGCGCACCAGGAATGGGAGGAGTGTACACAGCTCGGATTTGATGTACCCGCCCGTGTGTGTGTGTGTGTGTATGTGCGTGCGTGTATGTGCGTGCGTTGTCGTCCTGGCGATCGCACAGTTCCCGCCACACACTGACATGCACGCGCAGGCCTTGAGGGAGCTGGGCTATGTGGCGGGCGTGAGCGAGCACATGGCGGAATTGCCAGCCAAGGACCTGCGACCGCGCGTCGACCCGCGGCTGTGGGAGGGCATGTCCGCATCGCCCCGCTGTACCGTTTCTCCTTCCTCCTTCTATCGCCACGCTGGATCTCTCCCTCACAGCGCTCACTCTCGACGCGCGCGTACGCACCTCGCGCAGGGAATGTACGGCCGGGCCGAGTGCTGGTGGCCCACCCACGCACGCCGAACGAGAGCTGGCACCACGCTGTGGTGCTCCTGTTGGAGTACAGCCCGGAGCAGGGCGCGCTCGGTCTGCTCATCAACCGACCAGGTACGTGGGCTAGCCTCAGAAGTCACACTCGCGTGCCTGCGAGCGTCACGCTCACTTGGGACGGGCCTTGCGCCAAACGTGCAGAGAGTCTGCTCAAGCGATCGGGCACGGGCACACCTCCGTCCTATCGATCCTACGTCGGCGGCAGCACCAAGGTAGGCCTTTTGTTATTATTATTATTTTATAATAGCTCAGTTCGGTCTCGTTGACCACGCAGGGTTGGTACTGGCTCAGTCGATTCCGACTACCGGCGGCGCAGACGGCCCCGCGCTCGACGGGGAACGTTTACTACGGCTCCGGCAACAAGGGTCCCAAATGGGAGATCGAACTCGAGGTACTGCAGCGAACGCAACACGCACGGCACACGGCACACACAGCCGAGCTAAGTGGCGGACGGGGGCCGACAGAACACACGGGCAGCGGACGAAAGTGCCGTGCGGTTCTTTTTGGGGCTGCGAGCGGTGGGCGCCGCGGGCCTTGGAGCGG